GAGAGAGGGAGACACAGAATCCAAAGCAGGCTCCAGGCTCCAGGCTCTGAGCTGTCAGCACAGAGCCCAACATGGAGCTCAAACTCACGAGCTGTGAGATCGTGACCTGAGCTGAAGTCGGATGCTCAACCGACTGAGCCACCCAGGCGTCCCTATAGTTTAGATCGCCTGACAGTTTTTCCCCATTAACTCTGTACTAACAGCTAGGAATAGTTGAGTGGCACTTGCCAAGCGGGATATGTGACTAAGCACTTCTTCCAGATCATGTGTTGTCACAAACGTGAACTTGTTCTGGAGGTACCCATCCTTGCCTGTGTCATTTATCCCAGCCAATCTTAGGGTGACTCAAATCTTTATTAGGCTCCAGTGAGGAACCCTTTCAGAATGTCACGTTGAAACAGTATCTACTGGGCTCCCTTTGGAGATGGGGGCAGTGTAAAAGGCAGAAGGGATTCCTGTCCTTCTAGAGCTCGTGGATGAGGAAAGTGGCCCTGGAAGGTGAAATGACATCCCCAGGGTGGGCAGCCAGCATCAGGGATACCTCGAGAGTTAGTGACTCTCACACTTCTGGAGCATTCTCTGTGTGCCGGGCACAGTTCCAGGTGTCCCCGCATATGAACTCATCCTTGCAGCAACTCTTATTTTCCCCTTTCACACTTGAGGGAACTGAGATTTGGAGAGGTAGAACCACGTCCCAAGGTCCCAGAGTTAACGGACGGTAGTGCTGGGATTCAGATCCGGCCAGTTTGGTTCCAGAGCCCTTGCTTTTAATCGGCGCAAAGCCTGTGCTCTCCGCACCGTCCCTGGCTGCATGAGAGTGCCTTGAGAGCCTCAAGGAAAGGCCACCCAGGTCCGAAGGTCCAGGGCATCCCCTTTGCACAATCACCCTCTGTGGAGGCAATGTGTAATTTAATCAGCCCACAGAGGGTGTCCCACCCCAAGATTTACCTGTACGTCCCAGCGAGCGCCTTCCACAAAGAGGCCATGGATGTAGGCCCCCTCCCGAGGGGCGCTCCTGAAGTCCTCCCTGTTCTTCTTTGTCACGTCACACTGCAGGGCCATCTGGTCCAGTGGCCACTCGTTCTTGCGGGCCGTGGACTGCATGATGGCGGTCAGGAAGGACTGGGGGTTGAAGAAGCCTGTCAGCCACACCGTGGCAGGCATGGTGAAGTCTCCTATCCAGGCCTCCAACTCTTTGATTCGGTCGAGGAGGTCCACAAACCAGGCTCCCAGGCCTGCCGTGGAGGGGTAGGCTCGCCTGGCCCAGGGCTCTGGCACCGTGTCTAGGTACAGGGCGTTCTGTAAGTTCTCCATGTCGCTGGTCATGGTCAGCTCCCCCTGTAGGCGAGGGGCAGGAGGGGAGAGAGTGAGGGGGCAGGAAGTCCCTGGAGACAACCGGCCGCAGGGACCACTGGCTCATGGCCTACAGGCAGACAGATGAGTCCCACAGTGGTGGCCACGACTGTCCCTAATACTTGGTTTGCAAGGTGTGTGAGTCCACACCTATGTACTGACAGCAGTCGACGTCCACTGCGGACCTCAGACCACCTGTGGGTTCCCTACCCTAAAGCCTGGGTGCTGGCTCTCCTCCCGCCTTTGCAGCGGGCCCCGCAGCTCAGAAGCACGAGAGGCCCGAGGCTGGATGATCTGTGTCCCCCCCAAATCAAGGATCTCCCCCAGAATCAAGGTAGGAGATACACAGTCAACTTGAAGGAACCCACCTCCAACTGCTAGATGAAAGGTTACGTCGAAAACCGAAAACCATCATTAGGTTTGATTTTGTAACTTTGGTTATGACACGGATCTCCAGCAATTTCTTTCCTTTTTTTTTTTTTTTTTAAATGTTTACTTATTTATTTTGAGAGAGAGTGAGCGAGCAGGGGAGGGGCAGAGAGAGAGAGAGAGAGAGGGAAGGAGACAGGAGACAGAATCCCAAGCAGGCTCCACACTGTCAGCACAGAGCCTGATGCGGGGCTCAAACTCACGAACCACGAGATCATGATCTGAGCCGAAATCGAGAGTCAGATGCTTAGCTGACTGAGACACCCAGGTGCCCCTCCAAATTTCTAAAAGACCCCATCTCTATTGTAGTGGTTTCTGCACAGGGGTTAGGGTACACGACAAGGCTCGCGTTATGGGCTGAATGTTTGTGCCCTCCCCACCGACACCCAAATTTCCGTGTTGAAATGCTAACCCCCAGTGTGATGGTATTAGGAGGTGGGGCCTCTGGAAGGCGCCTGGGTCATGAGGTGGGGCCCTCATGAATGGGATTAGTGCCCTTATTATAAGACCCCAAAGAGCCCCCTCGCCCCTTATGTCTTGTGAGGACACAGAAAAAAGATGGCTGGCTGTGAACCAGGAAGTCGGCCCCTCCCTAGACACCAAATCTGCTGGTGCCTCTAGAACTGGGAGAAGTCGATTTCTGTTGTTTATAAGCCACCCAGTCTGGTAATTCAATTATAGAAGTCTGTGTGGACTGAGACAGCTTGGCTCACCCTAAGTGCAGACCGTTAAAATGTCACACGGGCCTCCCTGCGCCCCGAGTCCCCTTGCCTGTGGGATGGGAGACTGGACCATGTAACTCTATGACCATTTAACTCCTGGAACTGTTAAAAAAGAAAAGTTAAATATGCCTCCCTTAAAGGTGAACATATTTCGGGTCCTAAGTGACAGCTAGAAACTAGTCCTCTGACCCCTGAACTTCTTCATGAACTTAACAGAGAGACTGTAGCCGTTACTCTCTCTGCCCTGGAGTCGAGCGGCTGGGCTATTTTCAGATATAAATACCTTCATATTTTATACAAGAACTAAACATCCCGATCAGCCCAGTGCCAGGTAGGCCAGCCCGAATGACTACAGCCCAAATCATGGATGCTTTTCCCTCAAGTAAACAGATCATATTCCAGCGACCGAAAACAGATTTCCTTCCAGGTGTCTGCTCAGCCTCACGGGGGTGGCTCACCAGAGAAGACTGTGGTCGAGGGTTCCGAGGCCACCCCCCCGGGTCCGACGGGAGGTATGAGCGTCCCATGTCTACCCTCCAGGTTTATCGCTTCTAAACACACCCAAATCAGGAGAACAAAAGTTCCTCCTGGTAGATTTCCCCAAGGGTCTTCTGACACGAACAGAAGTTGAAACAAAAAAACATTGTTCTTTTTCCTGGACTCTTTACTTCAGAGGACACTTCTGAAAAGAGACTACGAAATACTCCTCGCACATTTGAGCCAGATTCAAGGTTCTGAGACAGAGTGTCTTCCTCATGCCCTCAATTCTGTGAAAATTCATTGTTATACGTAGTTGGTAATTTAGGTATTAGTAAGGTTTGCCAAAAAGCAGCTGGTTATTTAAGAAAATAGCATTAAGTCTCAAAAGTAAATTTAGTGCAAAGGGAAAGAGTAAATGATCAAACCTTCTCTTTTATGAGACCCCATCTGTGCAACTTTTTCTTGCCTTATCATACTATCTAAGACCTTCATTCCAACGAGAATAAAAGTGATAAGGGCACACATCCTTGCTTCCTTCCAAACTTAGAGGGAAAAAATCATCTTCCAACATTAAGAGCGATAAGTTTTCCTTAGATGTCCTTTATTCTGTTGAGGAAAGTCTCTTTTCTTAGTCTTCTGATATTTTAAATCAAGATTCACTGTTAAATTTTGCCAGATGCTTTTTTTTTCCTTTATGAAGAGGATTACGTGGTTTTCTTATGTAGTGCATTTATACGGTGAACTCCATTGATTGAGTTTTCAGCGTTAAAGCCAGCCTTGCAGTCCTGGGATGAACCCCATGTGTCCACGATGTGTTATCCTTTTCTTATGTTGTATGATTTCATTTACCAACATCTTGTGAAGGATTTTCGTATTTGGGTTTATGAGTAGTATTTGTTCCCCCTTTTCTTTTCTTTTCTTTTTTAAAAATTTTTAATGTTTATTTATTTTTGAGACAGAGCACGAGGGGGGGGAGGGTCAGAGAGAGAGGGAGACACAGTATCCCAAGCAGGCTCCAGGCTCCGAGCTGTCGGCACAGAGCCCAATGCCGGCTCGAACACACGGACCGTGAGATCATGACCTGAGCCACAGTCGGATGCTCAACTGACTGAGCCACCCAGGCTCATTTTCTTTTCTCGTGGTATCTTTGGTTTTTCTCATAGTACTTTATGGCGTCATAAAATTTGTTGGGAAGTGTTCCCACTCTGCTTTCTTATTTATTAAAATACTCTGTAAACCGTGTCGTAAACAGATGTGCTGTCATCCAGGCTCTGTTGTTCCACACGGGCAGAGCCCAGGTGGAGTAGAGTTAGCATCATTCTGAAGGGCCCTAGGATTCTGGGAGTGGTGAATGAGCACTGGCTTCAACTTAAATCACCAGCTGCAGTAGCACCTAACAAGAGAGTCAGCCTGCCCTTTGAAGCTTTGAAGCCAGGCTTTGACTTCTCTCTAGCTATGGGAGTCCTAGATGGCGTCCCCTTCCAATAGAAAATTGTTTGTCTGCACTGAAGGCCTGTTGCTTAGTGTGGCCACCTTCACGAATTATCTCAGCTCGATCTTCTGGATAACTTGCTGCGGATTCTATCTCAGTACTTGTGGCTTCATCTGGCATTTTAACGTTACAGAGACGGCTTCTTTCCTCAAACCTCCAGAACCAACCCCTGCTAGCTTCAGACTTTTCTGCAGCTTCCTCACCTCTCCCAGCCCTTGTGGAATTGCAGGGAGTTAGGGTCTCGCTCTAGATGAGGGTTTTGCTTAGGGCAATGTCGTGGCTAGTTTGGGCATCTATCTAGACCACTAAAACGTTCTCCACATCAGCAATAAGGCTGCTGTACTTTATTATCATTTGTGTGTTCCCCAGAGTGGCCCTTTGCATTTCCTTCCAGAACTTTCCTTTGCATTCACAACTTAGCTAACCGTTTGGTGCAAGAGGCCTGGCTTTATGTCTTGTCTTGTCTTTCAACATGCCTTCCTTGGTAAGCTTAATCACCCGCAGCTTTTGGTTTCAAGTGAGAGACGTGTGACTCTTCCCTTCACTTGAACACTTAGAAGCCACTGTGGGGTTATTAACTGTCCTAATTTCAATATTGTTGTGTCTCAGGGAACAGGGGGCCAATGGAGAGGGAGAGAGACAGAGGAATGGCCAGTCGATGGAGCAGTCAGAACACATAAACAATGATCAATTGAGTTTGCTGTTTTATTGTTTTATTTTTTTAATTAATTTCTTTCAATGTTTATTTTTGAGAGAGACAGAGAGCGATCGGGGAGGAGCAGAGAGAGGAGCAGGGAGCACAGAATCCGAAACAGGCTCCAGGCTCTGAGCTGTCAGCACAGAGCCCAACGCGGGGCTTGAACCCACGAACCACAAGATCATGACCTGAGCCAAAGTCGGACACTTAACTGACTGAGCCACGCAGGCATCCCAAGTTTGCTGTTTTAAATGGGCATGGTCTATGCACTCCAGAGCAATTACATTTATAATATCAAAAATCACTGATCACCATAACAAATATAATACTGAAAAAGTCTGAAATATTGTGAGAATGACCAAAATGTGACACAGAGAAATGAAGTGAGCAAATGTTGTTGTTAAAATGATACCTACAGACTTGCTCAATGCGAGGCTGCCACAAAACCTCTATTTGTAAAAAATGCATTACCTGCAAGGCTCAGTAGAGTGAAATGCAACAAAATGAAGCATGCTTGTATTTAGCTTTCTTTTGTGAAGAATTTTTGCTTTGTTTTTGGCTGGTCAAAGAGTTCTGGGTTTATCATTTTCTTTTCCTCTAGTCCTTTAAGGATCTCTCTCCACCGTCTCTGGCTTGCATAGCTCCCTATGAGAAGTCTGCTGTCATTTTTCTCTTTGCTCCTTTGCATATACTTCAGCCCCGCTCCTGCCCCTCAGCCCGTCTGCTTTACCCTTGGGTTTCCTCAACTTCATTATGAGTTACCTTTACAGAGTTTTTGTTGGGTATATTCTTCATGGGGCTTGTTGAGTTTCTTGTGCCTGTGGGTTTGCAGTTTTCACCAAATTTGCAAAACTGTGGCTCTCATTTCTTCAAGTATTTTTTTTTGTCTGATTCTCCCCTTTACCTCTGTCCTCTGAGACCCCAATTATTGTATGTTAGACCATGAGACCACAGGTCACTGTTGTGCTGTTTACTTTTTTAACGTATTTTTTCTTTTTCCTTCACTTCGGATAGTTTCTTTTGCTATGTTTTCATCAGTTGCAAATCTTCCAAAGTGCATGTTTCATTCAGCTACTGTATTTTACATCTCTGTCAATTTCATTTTTTATCTTCTATTTGTACTTCATCACGCTTACTTTCCTCTTTTTTCTTCAGCATACGGAGC